CATGCTGGGATTGTGGAGGACTAGGGCTGTCCAGAGGGATCTCAGAGCGCTCAGTCGTTTGGATTGGCGGGTGGCTCAGCTGTCTTTATTTTCATTAGTGGGTCCAGCGTGGGGCCATAGTGGAGACCCCAGCCCTGCACCCCCCTTCTGTTAAAGTGATACTTGGTCCGGCTTTGTCTTTTGATGACTACAGTCAGCAGAGTTGGGTATGTTTGGATTTGGTGACAACAGTCCAGATAGTATGACTTTCTTCATCGTGCACTCGTTGTCAGTGCCTGACCACCTCTGACCTCTGACCCCTGACCCCTGACCCTGGTCTCCCTGTCCATCAGCCCCCAGCCGTCTGGCCCAGGAGCAGCCAGTGTCCCCAGCGGCCCATCTGCTCAGCCGCCCGGATCAGAGTCCCAGCGGATGGCAGAGAAAGCCCCAGAGCCTCCATCCCCGGAAAGAGAAGGGAAACACCAGGATGTCGCTCCGGAGCGTCCAGAGACCTCCCACCCCTCGGACTTCTCCCTGCCCCAGCCTGTCCTTCCCATGACCCCCCGCGGCCCCACCCTCGGACTCTCGGCTGAGGTGCAGGGCCCCTCTGGGGGAGAGAAGACGCTATTGGCTGCTGAGGGCCCGGTCGTGGACGAGGCAGCCAATGAGGAGGCTCCGGAGCGGAAGGCCGGGTCTGGATTGGAGCCCGTGAAGGAGGAGGCGGGCTCCGGAGGGGGGCAGGAGGAAGAGGAGGAGGCAGCAGTGGGCGCCCTGGACGGGGGGTAAGTGTGATGAGGGCACACAGCTCCCGGCCGCGCCCTCCAGCTTGGCTGGCACCCCTGCGCTTCTCCCGCCCCCCCCGTGATAGGCCAGATTAACCCTCAGGCGCCGAAACAGCTGATTGGCCATCGCTAAGGTTCTGCCGAAAACAGAGGCTCGGCATGCTGGGAATTCTGGGTACCGCCTCGGCTTTCCAGAGGGACGACTCAAGGAATCTCTGGGGACTCGGCCGTTCTCGACTCGTTGGGTATCCTTCACAGGCACGCGTGGGACCGACAGGGGTCACGGCACTTGACGTGATATCCGGCATGACGCTGGGGTGGTTTCGGCGTAGCGTGGCGCCTGCAGTTAGCGCTCGGTGTCATGGTAGCTGACCTTTGACCCCTGACCCCGGTCTCCCTGTCCATCAGCCCCCAGCCCGGCGGTCCGGCTGCAGAGCTGCCCAGCTCAGAGTCCGAGCGGATAGCAGGGAATCTGGTGGCGGCTCCTCCTCCGTCTCCAGCCCCCGAGGAAGAGGAGGCCTCTCCACGCGCTCCTGCAGAAACCCTCCCCTCTGCGCTGACTGTCGCCCCTGAGGCCCCTGGC